GACAGTCAGTGTTCACTGCATCTTCAAACAGGTGCTGCTGCTCTTGCAGCTCTCAAAAACAAGGATGCATGAACTTCTCTAACATTGCTCCTCAAGCAGGCAGCAGACAAAGCACATTTTTGGATCATTTCCCCTCCCCTGACCAGATCTGGGAGGGAACAGAGAGGTAGGAAGTGTTTACAATGGTCATTAAGCTGTTAAAGTGCTCATTAGCACTAAAGCTTCTCTGTGCAGAAGCTTGGGAGTCCTCCTACCCCAATCTCTCCACCACTTGTTCTTCCCTTGTGTTGTCAAGTGAAGGAGAAACAAGGAGTTTTTATTATTTCTTTGTATGATTCCAGACCCAGAGTTGCCATGGAATATTCTCCCGTTGGAGTAACTTGCTCTCCCTCTGCTGGCTATGTGGGATTAAAGCAGCTCAGAGAGTGGCACTACAGAGCCCAGGAAAAAAACAAAAACACCTCTAAAAAGACCCCAGTTAGAGCTCTGATTTGCCTTTTTGCACTCTTTTCCAAGAAGCAGAGCCTTTCAGTTCCCCTTTACTGTGTAAGTGCGGATTCTGCCCTGTCAAATTCCATGGTTTTTTGGCTTCCATACTCACTTTTCTCTATCTGTTTTGTAGATCCGTGCAATCTCAGGCACTAAAGGATCATCTGGATTGGGATCACACAACAGAGAACAGATGGACAAAAGTACTGGGGAGAGAAGAGAGACACAATTAGTTTCAGTGCAGCTGAGGACACCTGCACAGGTCAGCCCACGCCCTTCCTTCCCCTCCAGCCAGAACCATCAGCAGCACTTATTTAAAATTCCCAAGGAGCAGAAATCCCAGGTACATCAGCTGAGTGATTCTGAACAGAATTCCTTACCAGTGAACTACACAACTTCACGTGACCACAATGTCACAAAGAGTAACCTCCTGGACAGGTGTGTCCAGCAGCAGCCGTGTCTACCTGAACCCACACCCGAGAGCATTCTGGGAAGACATCCCTGCTTTTGCACCTGAAATTCAGCTTTTCCCTAAACCAGACACCTCACTGTTAAATGACCTGGAGTCGCACTAATCAAAAGTCAAACAGCAGACAAGTCCAGCTGAGATGAGGTAAGAAAGGGCTGTTCACACCTACTTAAGAACCACAGAATGGTTTGGGTTGGAAGGCACTTCAAAGCTCATCATTCCAACCCCCTGCCACGCGCAGGGACACCTTCTACTAGACCAAGTTGCTCCAAATCCCATCCAACCTGGCCTTGAAGATCTGTTTAAAAATATACCAGTCTTGCAGAGAACTAAGAGGCTTTACCCAATTATTTTCCAAGTATCAGGAAGGCTGAGATGGATTAAGTGTAGTGTAATTTCCAAAATGACCCGAGAACACCCAGCTCCCTGCACTGCTCCCAACCCCAGAGCCCTAGAACTTGAGTGTTCCACTATGAATACATAGTGCCTATATCCCAGAGGCCACATCCTGCTGGGATGAGTGACAACCCTCATCCATACAAGGAGCCAGGAGACTGCTGCAAAGCCACAAATAGCACACGGACATTCCTACATTCACACCAGAGAGGAGAGGGGAAGGCAGCGAGTTGCAAGCAGAGCACGTTGGGACAACACTACGCCAGGCACGGCAGGGACATCTTGCCCCCCTCCCAGAAATGCCAAACATTCCCTTCTCTCCGCCTGTTTGGATCAAACAGTGCCACTCCATATGTCCCTTCACCAATTGCAGCGACGCGCAGTTGTCACAGTGCAGCCTCCGAGCGAGCTGGAGATGACAAGAATGAGGAGTCTGAAGACACTAAAACACAAATCTGCTCCAATTTCCATCACTTGCAGGAGGCAGCTATCCATGAAAAATGAAAGGAAACAGCACACAGCCCCACAAAAACAACAAAGGAGTTAAGATGGGTTAAAACAGAGGCCACAAAACAGATCATAGAACGGCTTGGGTTAAAAGGGACCTTAAAGCTCAGCTGGTTCCACCCCCTGCCATGGGCAGGGACACCTTCCACTAGCCGAGGCTGCTCCAAACCCCATCCAACCTGGCCTTGAACACTTAAGAGGGATGGGGCAGCCAGAGCTTCTCTGGGCAACCTGTGCCAGGGCCTCCCCACCCTCCAGAGAGAAGAGGGAAACAGATCTGATATTCCTTGGAAATGGAGGGGTTTTTTAAGTGGGACAAAAGTGAAAGTTTCCCTACATCTGAACTGAGTGTGCTGCTTGGTGGTGTGAGCACCAACAACACAGAAAGCCACTTAGTTCAGTTTTCCCCTGTTTCTGGAGACCCTTCACAAATCAATTCCAGGTTCAAAGCATTTAGGGGAAGTGTGGTAAAAAAGTGGTCTTGATTTAAGTGAACATATTTTTGGTTCTAGAATAAAGAGCAGCTTCTTCCTCCCTTTTCCCAGTTTTCTACTGTACAATTGTGAGAGAGTTAAGGGCTTCATTATCCTGTACCATAACTGATATTTGGGCTATTTATTGAGCTCCCTCTCAGAACAGCTTCAGAGTGTGAGGGAGGTCGTAGAAGCAACTAGTCCTGAAGTGCTGTCCCTCAGCAAGGGACAAAGCACATGTAGCACCTGTAGTACAGCTCCAGCACCAGCTCCTTTCCCCCACATACACTGAGTAAAGTGTTCAGTAATGGGAATTCTTTGACACATCCAGCTGCTCCCACTCAGTTCAGCCTCAAAACAGCTGTTTCTCCAGCAATTTTCCTGTAGCTCATTCCTTTCTGTCTGTCAGACTCCCGTGCTCTGATCACTTGAGTTTCTTCAGCTGTAGGATGAGTGAGACAGCTCAAACCTGTCCCCTGCCTTCACCAGACACAGCAGGAAATCCAATCCAAGTTTTCTGGTCAACTGTTGTAACTGTTCCCTCAAGTTTTATCTTACCACAGGCTTTAAAAACCAAAGTTCTTTTCTGAACACAATGGCTCAGAACCACACTGCAGGTCTGGCCTGCTCTCAGCCCACCCTAACACCCCTCTTCCCAACACTCAGCACTTCACTTTTCAGCATCACTCCAAAAACACTGAATAAAAATGGACAGAATCATTTGGCTTCAAGCTGTGCTGCCACATTCATCTGCTTTGTTTTTTTAAGTCTTCATTAATCCAAACTATTCTCATTACACTTGCTCTTGCTGCTGACTTCCCATCATTCCCTTTTTATCTGTACAGCCCCAGCAAGAAGAGCATTTTTAACTAGTTATCTAAACTGGTGTAATTTTAATATCCTGCTGAACCCAGCTATTTGTCCAGATCAATTCAGGAAGTTTCTCTTGAGGTTTTCCACTAGAACATTCCACATATACACGTTTTAGACCAACCAGCACAAGGAGCCTCCGGACCACTATGGAAAAACCTCATGGAAAAGGCACCTTCTCCAAGTTTCAAGTGCAAGGGTAAAGAGGAAGCAATCAAATATGTCAGTTGTGTATCACAGTAACTAATTAAACCAACACTATGGAATTAGAGACTCACTAGACCACCCTCCTCTGCAATCAAGTATTACAGGAATGAACTGCATAGCAAAGCCTTGACATTTACCACTCAAATGACTACACTATTAGTAGGAGACAATAAAAAAAGCTCCCAAAAATTTTGCAACCAGAGAATCAAGCTGAATAACTACACAAGGCAGGTAAGTGACATTTTTACACCTTGTCCTACACATCCTGCATGACCACAGGCAAAGCATTATCAGCTTGACAGCATCCCTTGGAGTCTCCAACTGGAAGGGATGTACCACAAGTGTGCACTCCTTTAATTCAAGTCTGGATTTTTGTCACTAACTGCAAAATAAATTTTACTTGCCATTGATTCATCCCTTGAAACAACTCTGTAAAGAATTATTTCTCACCTCTTCACTCTTAGCTCTCCGAGTTGCCCAGTCTTCAGCAGAACATTAAGCAACTTAGAACCACTGTCAATTTAAAGCTTCCTTTCACTTCAAAATTGGGTTTGTTTTGTTTTATTTCACCCACCAGGCAGCCTACTGACCTCCAACCCTTCAACTGTGCTCCCCATCTATCTCTGCAGACAACAAATGCAACTTATTCTTCAGTGTGGTTCCTGCTAGCACAGACCAAGTACTTCTCAACACCGAGGGACTGGGAGAACCAAACTCATCAAGCAAACAGGCTGACAACAAAGTGGTTCTAAAAATGGGCTCAGCTTCCCCACAGAGCAGTGAGAGAAATGCACCCTCATCAGGCAGAATGATCACTGAGCACTTAATATCAAACTGCTTGAGCAACATGCAGAATAATCTACAGTGTAACACAGCACAACTGGCATCCAACCTCTCACTGCAAGACTTGGCTTTACAAAGCACAAAACACTCTGAAGTTCAAGCACAATCTTTCTCCGAGTAGAAAATCCTGCCCTGGACAGACTGTCAGCAGGATCAGCTACAGTTCAGCACTGCATGATCCACCTCACCTCCTCAGCAGCTGCTGTGCTCTCACACCACCCAGGCCAGCCCACCATCCCCAACGAGCAACTTCACCCTCCTGCTTCTGCCCCACCTCAGACTGAAGGCGTGGGTAAGATGCAAATTCCACATGTAAATTCCATGGCTGAGGTTCCTCTGCCATGAAGCAGCTCAGGACAACCCATGACATCAGCTCTCCACGGGTCCTTCCAGCAGTAGCCAAATGAGCAGTGTGGAACACAATTTAAAGCCCTACTGGAACATCTGTTGGCTCATCCAAATTTAAGAGGCATGTTAAATTTCCTGGAACTCAGAGGTGAAGAGACTCTTAAAAGCAGCTGATCTCCACTTCCTCATCTTCCAAACACAACCCCCAGATGATTCACTTTGTCTGTAAAGCCTGACTGGTCTAATATCCACCACTCCAGCCATCCCTGACAGGGTACCAGCCACTACAGATACTGCTCTTCAAGTCTAGCTGGAATTCCAAACAAACCTGCTCCTGTAAAGCACTCATCCATGGGACACTTCAGGGTAAGGAAAAGCAACTGAGGAGCAATGGAATCTCCAGCTGAATCACAGCAGGGACATGAAAAGCACCAATTTTTCCAAGGTAATGAAGCTATGCAGAAGAAACGACTGGTGTGTTCTGATCCAATAGCTGCTTGGTGCAGTTACTGCCCTCCAAAGAGGAGCCAGTTTAAAATCCATCCAGGAACAAGGGTCCATCTCTAAGCAAGCACAGAGACTATTTAACAAACCCTTTGTTGGTGCAAAGTACCAAGAAAGTGCTGAGATGGTTGCTCTGCATGCCAGACTGTCAGGACAGCAGGATGACACTTACTCAGCTCTCTGTCTTGGCTGCAGTCACACACGAGTCTCAGGATCACCTTATAATCAAAAAGGTCATGCACTGACATGGAACTCTTGGATAACACAGGGAAGCACTGATTCCTGGCCATCACAGTTCCCAGCAATGGCAGCAGCCCACCCCACCTGCTGTGCCAGGGGAGTGATGAACACCGAGCCCAGAAGGTCTTCCTATGGAAAGCCATTTGTCACCTCCTGGAGACCAGGAGACAATGCTGTGCCTCCTGATCCAGCAAAGTCTCTGAGTATGAAACTCACAGTTTGTCAGCTCAGGTTTAATTGATTGTGAAACACCTTTGCCAGCAGAAATATGAGCCTTGGACACAACACTGCTGAGGAATTCTGAATTCCATGTTGGGGCATTCATCCAGCTGTCCTGCTTCTCCCACCAGCTCCTTTCACTGGTGCCTGGCAGCCTCCACATCAAGGCCCACTGCTACTTCCACCTCTGTTCCTCAAAATCAGTAACAAACCTGACTCCTGAAAGCAACATTCTCCTGTACAATCACTACTTCGGAGTTTCAGGCCCCAGACTCTTGAAACTTCTGAGGCACACAGCTGTCAAAGAGTTTTATCAGCACAGACAAACATTAAGCTTTTAACTTAAACCACACTGAAAACACCACTGTCCAACAACTTCAAATGAGTGGCTCCTCACTGTGAACAGGCAAGATGCATCGAAATAAATTAAAGCAGCTCCAGACTCTGCTCCAGTTAAATCCTATTTCTTAACCACAGTCCCATTTCCAACTCCTCCAGCCTCTTCCCCAGCCCTACAGGAAGTGTACCTTTAAATCTGAGCAGTTTAAACTTCTGGCTTCAAAGCAACTTGAATTCCTGCTATGTCAGTTCAACAATTTCTGGTGACAAAAGAAGAAAAGTTAAGTGTTGCCCAGTTTATCACAGACTGGTTGAGGTTGAAAAGGATCTCTGGAGATCGTCTTGCCCAGCCCCCTGCTCAAGCAGGGCCACCTAAGGCAGGTTGGCCATGACTGTGTCCAGGTGGCTTTTGAGTATCTCAGAGGTAGGAGATCCCAAGGCAACCTGTGCTGGTGCTCAGCATCCTCACAGTAAAAATAAAACACAAAGAGGTGTTTGTTTCCTGCTGTTAAGACGGACCCTCCTGGGCTTCAGTTCATGCCCTGACTCTGGGCACCACTGAGAACAGTCTGGTTCTGTCACCTCTGTACCCTCCCTTCAAGTACTTATTGACACTGATAAGATCCCCCCAAGCTTTGTCTCCTCCAGGCTGAACAGTCCCAGCTCCCAGCCTGCCCCGCAATGGGAGATGCTCCAGTCCCTCCATGGCATTCATGGCCCCTCACTGGGCTCCCTCCAGTACATCCACGACCTCCTTGTTCTGGGGAGCACTGGATTTGTGCTCCAGATCCAGCCTCACCAGTGCCAAGCAGAGGGGAAGGATCACAGCCCTGCACCTGCCAGCAACACTCCTCCTACTACAAACTTCCTTGGAGCAACACCTGGGAAGCTGCACAAGTGGTTAAACCACAGTTTCGAGAGCTGAAAAGCAAAATTGGGCATTTCCCTTAGAACCCCAACTCAGCACATCATGTCACACCCACGCTCTGTGACAGAGCCACCCCCAGTTATTTGGGTAAGCACTACAAGAGGCAAACCAAAAAGCCAAGAAGATGATTAGAAACCCAAGTTGCCAGTTTTTAAAACTGCCCTGTGAAGGTCCAGTTCGTTTAGGTCACTGGGCACTTGGGAAATCCCACACAGTAAATCTCAGTAAAGCAATTCTTGAAGAGCAGCAGCACAGAAAATCCACAGCACACCGGGCACGGGAGGTTGGACAGGGGAGCTGAACTCTGCCACAAATGAGGCTGAAGTCACTCACTGCCCCTCCAGCACACCCAGACAGGCTCCATGAGTCATTACTTACAGAACATGAGGAGAAGTGGGACAGGACAGAGTGAGCTGCCTGACTTTCACTGCAGAAGTACTTCAAGATTAACTCTTGCACACCCACTTGCCAAGTTCAAGAGAAAGCCTGTTTTTTCCCCCACCAAAAGTGGCTGGGAACAGCTGTAATCGTGTTAAAATACTTCATTCTCCTGTTTCAGGCAACAGGGATTCTTACTTATACACACTTGGAGATAATGTTTTTAATTTAAGCCTACACATTCTGCTTAAGCTTTGGAGTCCAAACTGCCCACTAAGGAGTGGTTAAGACTGTATTTTGAGATGATTTATTCTTCAATATGTATTCTTTAAGCAACACTGAGTTCAGAATTACTAATATAAGCAAGCCACTGCTCTACTAAAACACTCACTGTTGTTCCCCCAAGCCTTCAGAACGTGTTTAAACAATTCTAGGAGGGACAGAACAACCCCCCAAGATGCCAATCACCTGTCATAGCCACAATCACTTTATCAAATTGCTTACAGAGGGCTCCAGAGTGAGGAGCCAAGACCCTTCACCACCAAACTGGGATGATTAACTACCACTGACTAGATTTATCGCTGTCTTTTCACCAAAAAGTAGCACTTTAAATGCAAAGGAAGTCCCTGCACACCCCTTCCCCTCCCTCCTTGGAGCTTAAGGTGTAAAACGTTCATGTACCACACATTAACTGCAACATAACACCAAGCCCATCCAAGCTGCTGACAGTGCTGCCTCCCAGCTGCCTCAGGAGGAAGCTGTGCCTGATAAGTTCTTTCCTAGAAGGACTGTTCCTAGTATTTCCAGATTTCTCAATCAGTAGAAAGCACATTTTTTTTTTTTCAGCTGTGCTCTAGTTATCTGCTTACAGATTTTCAATTCAAACAGCTTGCTCCCAGTGGCATCCCACTTAAAAGGGTGGCACGAATTAGGAAATTCTCCTAGAAATCCACAATACAAATACTAAATTGCTGCTTTGGAAGGGATGTGAGCTTATTGCTGAATGTGTTAAGTCTTGTTATTCATTCTGAATTACCTAATCCAACAGCTTTTCCTGCTAGGAACACGTCCTATTCTTCGATAAGGCTGATCAGTTACTAGAGAGCTGAAACAGCCCCAAAGTCTGTCATGACACGTTCTAACCTGACTGAACACAAGATTTCAGCCCTAAAAGACTCAAGTTGCCTTTGTGCAATTCCTTTACACTTGTTCAAGATGGGAACATCAGCTCTTTGCTTCTGAAGCTGAGCTCTGCTTTCTGTGATTCTGAGGAAAGTATTCCCAGTTTCTATGAAGTCACCTGTAAGAATTTGCTTGGCTGCTTTAATTCCTTCAATAAATGTACCCCAAGGGCACTGGGAACAAGGTTTTCTTTCTTGTTAGCGCTGTATGGATGCTGTGCATGTGCAGCAGAGTTTGGGCACTGAGTGAACTCCCCCGCAGTGAGTGAGAAGTGATCAGCACTACAGCAGGGCACTCACAGGGGCAGTGGGAGGGACACAGTGACACAGAACAACCACTCTGATCCCCCTGAACTCCAGCTGAGACAGCACGATACAGTTTGAAAAGGGTAAGGAAAAAAGGAGTCCAAAGCAGAAAACAGAAAGAGATGTTAAAGCATACTGCAAATGTATTTGGGCAGGAAAATTAACATTGGGATGTATTTTCAGGCAGCTGCCCTTAACCAGCCTCGTGAATTCGTGCCCCATCTTTTCCCAACTGTCCCAATTCCAGTCCATCTCCCAGTATTTTCAAGCGTGCTGTCTATCACCCCACTGCCCATATGGCCACTTTAGAGACTCCCTAAAACAACACACATTCTGCCCAGTTACACAGCAATTAAATCAAACCAGAACAGATGTCAGTGCTTGGTGCTAACTTAGTGCTTCCAGGAGCAGCCAGTACTGACTGAGAGCACTTGTAAGGAAATTACAGCAACCTGACAATCATCTTCCCTTTACTGACACCATTTCTTCAGTTCTTTCAACTCACAACAAAGACTTTCAGTCCTGTGCACGAGCAAATTCACTTCTGACAAGAGACAAGGAGATACTGTTTTGCCTTTCCAACTGTTTCTACAAATGCCTTTTAGCTGGACAGAGAAGGTGAGAACTTCTGTGGGCTCAGGGAGACAGTGATGACGTTCAAGGGGATGTACCAGGAATCACCTGCCTAAAATAAAAATTGCCCAGAAACATCCCAGAGCTGGGGAGAAGGACAGGGCACAGGAAAGCCTCAGAGAGGGACACGATGTGAAGGATAACGTCATCAGCACGGCAACTGCAGCGTCTGAGCACAAGGACACTGGGAAGCCGCAACACAGAGGAGTCAAGACTTGGGCCATGCACAGGGTAGGCCCAAAATATTCCTAAATAGCCCCAGCTAGACCTACACACTTGATCTGCAGTTTATAAGTCTACAGCTTCACTGGCCAGAAAAATCAGTAAAATTCCAGCCTGAGTCTTTTTTCAAGCCTTTAAAGCCTTGTATTTATATTGAATATGAATACTGCTTTACCAGGCAAAGGATACATTCCAAGCTAACCACTAACTCAGTTCACAAGGTCCAAGATATTTTTAACTAAAAAAAGTCAAGATAGTGCAAGCTAGTTAAGTTTTATAAAATACTTTAGTAGTGCATGTCATTGAAAGCTTTGCTTAAAAGCTACCAACATGGAGTTATGATGTTTCCTTGACAAAGGATCTTTTAAGATGACAAACAATTAGACAAGTCTTTAACTTCTAAAAAACTACAGCTACTCCCTTACATATTTTACTCGGTGTGTATTCTGAACATTAAAGTCTTTCATTATCATTAACTGAAAATATATAAAATTAAGCTTAGTGTCAGTGTTCAGTCTGAGGTGAGTGGCAGGAGTATGTACTCAGTGTAGCAGGACTTATCTGATCCACTGGCAGAGCTGAGGAGTCTCCCTGTGCCACAGGGAAGGGGGACGTCCCAGCATCATGCACTCAGGAATTGGCTGCAAGCTCCGTGCAGGGTCACAGGACTGCAGCAGTGACCACAGAAATGGTTGATGCCAGCAGGAATGCAGCAGTTTTACAGCCCAAACCAGTACTTCATTTCAGCAGAGTAAAATTAAAATGAGCATTGGAGGTACCTTTTGAAATAGTTAGTGCTGGGGACCACTGTGATCGTAGAATATCAAGACAAATGCTGCCATTACTGTTAATATTTGGATGATAGATTCTTGTTGTAAATGCAACCTGCAGAAGAAGGAAAATTTTCAGTGTAGGCTCACAAACATACACATCAGACCACATTGTAAGGATGGATTTATGGCAGAAGCCACTCACCTTAGGTGGTTTGAAGGGATAATCTGTTGGGAAGTGAATTGTCAAGAAAAATACTCCACCTTGATAGGGACTGTCGTTCTGTTAATGAGAAAGAATCATTGCAGCTTGAGGAGTTATTACAAGACAACCCATCATAAAAAGCCACGAGCATCAATTCTCTCATACTTACTGGTCCCATTATTGTAGCTTGCCAATGGAACACTGAAAAAGAGAGAGATTTACTTCAGTTTGGAGAAGCTCAAGTAATGATCTTACTTTCTTCCAGACAAAGCAGCACAGAAAAGTCTATTTTCAAAACAAAGCCTTCTGAAAGGCTGCAGGGAAGGGAGCCAAGGAATTAAACAGACACAGGGCAAAGTACTCAATGCTCCAGAGCCCGGGATTGCTGTGGTACCACACGTGTGCCCTGCAAAAATCCTGTGACAATAAAAATCCAGACAGTCCCAGGCAACTTTTCAGACTCAAAAGCGTGAGTTTAAACTCTGTAGTTTCTAATGAAGCAGCTGAATCAAGTTTCCACGACTGCCCTGTGAGAACAAAAGGTACATGATGAACTCATACCTGCTCTCCTCTCAGAGCCCTGAGAACAAGCCCAGGCTCTGTGTACACCACACATACAGAGGTAATTTAAGCCAGTGCTATCCTCACTGAACTTTTAAGTTCAGTCTCCACAGAGGCCTCAAGATCGTGGATTGTCAAGTGCACAAAATCTAATCCTCACTCACATGCGTCTGTCCAAGAGAACATAAATCTGGTCATACAGAGGACTTGTGAAGAATGTTATGCTGGAAAGGAAAACAATCCAAGCTGATCATCTGTATGAGGTACATTAGGGAGTTCTTGGAGTTCCTGCATCTCCAAAAGTTCCAGTGCCCGTGCAAAGAGCACAAATATTTTGGGGAATAGGACCATGGAAGCTCCCCTCAGCATGGATGTCAGCTACATGGCACCTTCAGACTCCAGTTGTTGCAAGGGAAGTCTTCCAGACACAAGATGAAGCCACTAGCAGCTGTGTGGTATCGATGGCTGTCAGGACTACCTGGGCCAGAAGTTAGGAGTGGTGCTACCTGTTCTAATCTAGCATGAGCAGTTTTTAATTACACATAGTACAGGCATTACAGCTGGGAATGATCTCATACAAGGAAGGAGGAAAAAAGCGAAGTGGGAACAGCCCTGCAAGGCCAGAGGAAATGAGTGTTGGGTTGGAGCAGGTTTGTTTTAATCTAGTCTTACATTTCTATAAGAACATGGAAGTTTCTATACAGTTCAGCACTGGTTCAGAACTGATTCAGAAAGATTTTGGCAGCTAATTTTCTCCTTTTGGAAAGGATACCTGAGCGTAGAGTCCTCAGCATATAAATGGATTTCCCTACTTAAATATCCCCTCTCTCAGGAGCTTGGATGCAGCAGCCTTTGAGAAACTACATTCAATGCAGAGCCAGGAAACCACAACAGCAGCTCACATGCCCATATGTAGCATTCCCCTCTTTCAAGGGGTTCAGACAGCTTCCCAGGAAGTGCCTATCACCTGCAGCTGGACAGGGAGAAACCCGGAGCAGAGGACAAAGGGGCAGCAGGAACCCCACAGGGAAGATTGTGGCCAGTCACAGCAAAACCACCAAAAATCTCACAGGCACCAGTGGATGCTGGTGGGATTCACTGTAGTGCACAAAGGCACCACTGAAAAGAGAAGCTCAAAGAATCATCTATTGTCTTAAACCCAACAAGAAACCAGAAAGAAAAACATTTCCACAGTGAATCTTAACTTTGTGAGAGCTCCCACCCCAGACCCAAGCAAAGTGCTTGTTTAACCTAAGCTTTAGATCCTCACAATATCCGGGACAAGTCTGATGAACGACAAGATGGATTCGCCATGCAGAGCTTATTCCAATTGATTCTTTCCTTTGAAATCACCCCTAAAAAGGTATTTACAAAGGAAGGGGGCTGCTGACTTTCAGTAGCTAAGCACAGGTACATGTCTGGAATAGCTAAGCCACTGCAAGCACACCAATGTCATCCAGTCCCAAAACACAGGCCAGAGGTGGGTGGAAAAGGGGCTAAAACTACATTGCCAAGAAAATCTCATTCCTACAGTTAACAAGGCAGGAACAGCTCTTCACTTCCCAAAGTTTATGAACTACAGGGATGAGAAGCTTACAGCTGGGGACAGTTTGTATCAGCTGGAGTAGCCACAGGAGGGCACTTTGCAAGAACAGCATGTCCTGAACTCCAGGAAATGTCGCTGTGACGAGGCAGCCGAGGCACACCTGGAGCACAGGGATCTGGGAGAAGGCACCTGTCTGCTGCTGCCACTGCTATCCCACTGACACCTCCCCAAACTGTTGCTCTCAATAACTGAAGTCTTTCATCAGCAGGTCCTTCAGAAAGCTGGCACAAGAAGAACTTTTAGTAATTTAAAGCTTTCTGTGCTCAGCAGTAACTTTCCACCTCTCCTCTGCCAGACAATCATCATCACCTTTGATAAGGCTTTGGAAACCACAAAGCAGTTTATCATGGCACAAATCACACTTGCTAATTTAAGGGAATAAAAGCCTCAGCCTGGCTCTCCATCTTAGTCATTTCTTTTCCATGAAACTACAAACCTCTTTGAAATACTATTTGGAAAGCAGAAATAAGTTGTGAAGTCACTAAAAGCTTGACCCTATTGCTAAACACCCTCAAAATCAAGCTGAGCTTCCACTTGTTTGAAAGTTCTGCTGAACAGCAACACCCCTACTAATTTCAGTATTTTCATTCTCAGGTTTCAAGTGGGTTTTTTTTCAACCTAGCCCTACATTTCTGTAGGAATGTGGAAGTTTCTATACACTTCAGAACTGCTGAATGGTTCAGAAATGATTCAGAAAGATCTTGGTAGCTAGTTTTTTTCCTTTCAGAAAGGATACCTGAGCTCAGAGCTCTCAGCACACAGCTGGAGGGTTTCCATACTCAAATATCCCCTCTCTCAGGAGCTTGGATGTTTTGCTGACAGGACATTCGTGAGAGGCCACGTTGAAAAGCTGGATTTGCAAGTGTTCTTGTCTCACTGCAAGCATCCTACTGATCTTGCTCATCTAAGCTATGACAAAAGGTTAACGTTGCTATTAAAAAAATAGTCAAGTATAATTTTACACTTTCTGGTGAAAATGAAGAAGATGGTACAAGTTGCAGAACTGCTGCAGGTTAAAGGCCTCTCACAGAAAACCATCACAATGTACAGGGCACCAGTTAAGGTGCCTTATTCACAGCTAATAATGGCCTGAAGTTGTCTCAGGGGATGTTTAGGTTGGATCTCAGGAGAAGGTTCTTCCCCCAGAGGGTGGTTGGCACTGAACAGGCTCCCCAGGGCAGTGGGCACAGCCCCAAGGCTGCCAGAGCTCAAGAGGGGTTTGGACAGTGCCCTCAGGGACAGGGTGGGATTGTTGGGGTGTCCTGGGCAGGGTCAGGGGTCAGACTGGATGATCCTTGTGGGTCCCTTCCAACTCAGGATATTCCATGATTCTAATCCAAGCAGACTGGGGAACACCACTTACAACTAAGGTAAGAACCAGCCACATAAACAGCCTGAAGTCAAGTCACACGATGCATCTTGTCCTCCCCTCCCTGGGCCAAAATACAGGCACAAGATGACAGTTGATCTTCTTACTAAAAATCAACATTAGATAAAAAAAATCAGGGTAGGATTTTAAAGAGCTGCTTTTTTTCCTGCTTAACACACCTCCCTGAGCTTCAAAAAGGACAGAACAACTGCAAATCACACCTCAGGTGAACAGCCTGGCACAGCAAACACCAGCTGATGTGGAGGTCAAAGAGACTGTCTGAGGTTGTCCCTTACCAGGAGCTGGCAGGGCACACTGATCTGGGCACAGATCACAAACACAGAGTCAGAATGGTTTGGCTTAGAAGGGACCATTAGGATCATCTTGTTGCACCCCCTGCCATGGGCAGGGACACCTTCCACCAGCCCAGGTTGCTCCAAGCCCCGTCCAGCCTGGCCTTGGACACTTCCAGGGATCCAGGGGCAGCCACAGCTTCTCTGGGCAATCTGTGCCAGGGCCTCCCCACCCTCACAGGGAAGGATTTCTTGCCAGTATTGAACCTAAACCTACTCTCAGTCTGAAGTTATTCCCCCTTTTACTGTCACTATGGTTCCTGGTAAGTGTATGATTTAAGGATGCTTCTCCTGCACCTCCTCCCTAAGCATCCATTTCCCAGTCAGGCCACAAGTCAGTCACGACAGCAGGGTTTGGACATTCTGGTTTTGCTTATTGAGAAAGCCACAAGAAGTACTCCAAGTTGAGTGAAATCCTGCCTATAAATAAAAAAAAAAATAAAAATAATAATAAAAAAAAACCAAACCAAAACCAACCAAACCCAATTAACATTACTGCATGATTCAAGCTGTAATTTATCAACATTTTCCTTCCAATCACACAGTAACTAACCTCTGAACCCCAAGGACTACATATAACCCTCTTTAAAAAAAAAAAAAAAAAAGAGAGTATTACCTAACTGCTGTGTAAAACAGCACTAACCCTGACCTTGCTGTACCAGCAGAAGTCTTAGGAGTAGTTTGTTTTAGTCCTACAAGAACACATGACTACACCACGTACAGTTTAGATATCCAAGTGCAGAAAGCTGTGGGCAGGTGCTTGGTGGTTTGGCCACAGAGGTTTCCTAACTCCATCCAAAATTCCAGAACAGTTAACTCAAAAGGTGTAATTTAAGATGTGCATCGAGCTGTCCAATTAATAGAGTGGGAGTAGCATCAGTGTTGTGTTAAAGGGATACAGAAGAGCAACAAATTTCAGGTCAGGATGGGAAGCAGTATCTAGGACTCTAACCAGAAGAAACAGAAGGGTTCTCCCTGCTGAGGTGCTGGACATCCTGTTTGAGAAGGAAAGAGGTGGGAGAGTACAGGTGTCTGCTGAGAGCAGGATACTTACTGTCATCCCCAACAGGCCCTGCTGAACACTGTGCTGGAGGATCACGTGCCAGATCGTTCAACTCCTACAAAACAGGAAGAGCTCAGTTCATTTCGTTTCAAAAACATGTTTTAGCGTGTTATTGCTAAAAAGCTGCTGGTGGCAACTCTGGCAGCGCCACAAAACTAACAGCCAGGATTTTGGAAAGTAAAGCTGCATCTTCAACCCAGGAGCTGCGTTTGGCACCTGCCTCAGTGACCTGTGCAGGCTGCTCAGACCCTGAGTCACAGCAATCTCACCACGTCACAGGGTCTGCTGGGTCTGCCTGCGCTGTCCCAGCATTACCAAGGTATTATATCCTCCACTGTCCCCGGGTCACAGGGAGATAAGGTGGCCTCAATCCAACAACTCTCTGTATCAGCCTTATTTTATCCCCTCTATTGTAACAGTTCCCAGACTGCTCCAGCTCTGGTGATCCAGTTTATCACCTGCACAGCCTGCTTGCAGCACACACAGCTCCAGTAACCTGGGGCTGCTTTGCCTCCATACAGACACATCAGTGACCACGGGGGGAGAAATGGAATAAAACACAAGGCCTTCCCTACCTACAGACCTGAATGGAAACCCTCACTTTTCAGTGCCTGTGTCAGTCAAATTTTCCTCTGAAGAAATCCCATTATGAGTCTGAGTGGGCTGAGTAATTCACAGCACTCCTGAATTACACCAAGCTTCAATTTGAAGCAACATTTTAGCGCAGTTCAGAGAATTACTGTTACCAGCAACTCGCATTAGCCATTTTCTCAGGAAGTGGATGTTTAGTGGGAACCAAAAATAGAGTAAAACTTAAAAGACAAACTTTACCTGCCCCATTTCTGGCTCAGCCACTGACCTGCTTTGCATGATAGGCCCACACATATCAGCTTTGTTCTGTCCTGGGTCAGTCTAGAAAGCTGAACACACACCAGACAAGGATTACAACTAAATCTAGTGCTCAGGAAACACTTCCATGCTGTCCCTGGTCCGTTGTGTGTTCAGCTTTTCACCTCCCAGCAACAGTCCACAGAGAAGTTTCCATACCAGGCTTTTGGCAGACAAAACATTTAAGGACAATGTTTAAGACAAGCAGATTGCAGGAGTGGAAGAGGTTTGCCACCAAATGGTCTTTTGTTATCTACAGGCAGTGAGTGATTAAGCTCTTGAACAGGTGATCTCTGGGAATTCCAGCTGCTACTTCCCAGGAACTAAGAGACCACCACCAAGCAATCCCTCTCCAGTTGCAAACCTGGAATGCTGCCTTACATCAAACAGGTAAATCTCTGGGTTTTCCCCTTTGGATGCAGTGCAGATCCAAAGCTTCCCATTCCCTGACACACACACAAAAGTTTGGTTCAGCTCTCAGAAGCTCCCTTCAGACTGCTGAAGAGCCCAGCTGGAAACCTCCTGACTCACCAGTCTATGGGAGCTTTTGTAGAGCTCCTGCTGAGCTTCTTCCACTTTGTGGTTCAGCACAGGCTTGCACAAGAGCAGGCACTGCACACACAGCACCTGCTGAAGAGCCCCCTCCATCCTGCAGGTGGAGAGAACATCTCCAGCGCTCCATGTGCCATCTCTGAAGGCTTAAAGCCCTTTGGAGCTGCTCCAGCAGCAGCAAGTCAGGAGACACCCTGCAGGGCAGCACAGGAAGGTGCAGACACTACACACACCTTCCTCAGGGTCAGTCCAGCCAATGAGTCCAGTCTCCACAGGAAAACTTAAAACCAGGAATACACCTACTCTTCCTAAAGCTGCATAGAACACAGTCCACTTCCAAATGCTACTGGACTCTAATTTTCTGGAAAAGCCAATTTAATGCTATAGTACTCAAAAGCACAAACACACTTATTAAAAAATCTTCCTTGCCACTTCTCATCCTGTTTTAAGCATCAATACAAAGCATACACTCGACTAGGAAGGTACAACTGTAAGAATCCACATTTTCCATGCAGGACCACAGCCCACCATGGATTATATTTATTAACACACAACACACAGCTTCCCTACTATAAAAGGGAAATAGTCACAAACAGGAGCTTGGGCACACACTCAACCAGTTAGCAGAATAAACATAAAGCTGCCCTGACATTCCCCCTGTATCCTGCTGCCCAAAAGCACCAAGTGCTTCACCAAACTGGATACAGCAGTGGGACCACAAGGTAACTCTCCAACAGAGGCAGCAGTGAAGGTTGGGTAGCAGCAACTTCATTTCTCATCAAAATCCTACTTCGTTCTCTACATCTCCAGTTCCAGCCAGAAAGGAATACTTTGGTTTTCTGAAGCCCTGGGTATTATCTCAGTGGAAAGCCAAGACTTACAACAACCACTCGTACCACTCGTCTCTCTGACAAGGTGGCATTTCAGGTTCTGCTCTATTAATTTACAGAGTGAAACACCACAGATTAAAATCCGTGCAAAAAGCAATGTGTAAGCTCCTTGTGCCTGGAAAAGTTTTGCACCAACTCCCATTTCAAGCCCCTGCAAGACAAAACCTCCCATGTTTTGCAGAACAACAGCTTGGAGAGCAATGAGGAAGTTAAAGACCACTCTGGAGCACAGGCACCAGCTGCCTCTGCCCACCAGAGAGGCAAACTGGATTTCCTGGCAGGGCATGGATAATCCTATTAACACACCATTCCCTTCCAGCTGCTTCTAAGACTCCCACTACTCCTTTGTCAGAGCTGCAGAGCCAAGTTTAAGGACAGGAATGGAGCTGCATCTATCCAGGCACACCCAGAGGAGCACCCATGGCTGCTGCAGAGCCATGTCCCACAGGTTACTTTGCCTTTTGCAGGTTCCTGAGCATTCCCAAGGCACTGCAAAAGCACAACACCCAACCCAGCGAGGCCTTGGCTTCCAGATGTTGTTGCTGAGGGACACTGGTTTGTGTAATTCTCAACAAATGACTCCAGAGTTCCCATAAAACTGGAGCTCATAGCACGTGGTGGGTTCAGTTACAGTCTGGTACCATCTACAAACCTGCATGGATCTGATCCCGAACTGCTTTATTCCCCTGTGATCCAAGAAGTCTGGCTGGTCAGTGATCAAGCCTGATCCTGACCACACTGATATTAAAACAAAACCTGAAGCCAGTTCCCACTCCAGACAGTTTCTGGTCCTTAAGCACATGAAGTAGGTTTTGCTTTAGGAGATTACAAGTGAAGACTCCAGCAGCCTTTAGATCAAATTCCAGTTTGAGTTACTCAGCTCCCAGGGGCTGCCTCACCCTGAGCTGCCTCTGCAGCTGAAGGCACCCCACAGAATTTAAAGTTTCTGCCATCTCCCCTACAGCAAAACACCCCCAGGGCTGGGCCCACTGCTGTGGATCCTACCATTAGCCTGACCCATCTCACAGTTATTAATGAGTCCCTCAGCAAAAATGAGGAAGTGGAAGCACAGCACAAAGCAAGGTTCAAGGTGTCCTGCCCAAAGGCCAAGCTGAATGCAACTACTGCAACTAAATCCATGAAAGACAAATCCTAAAATCTATAAAAATCACACAAGAAACTGATGTTTAAGCTCCAAAATGAGATTTAAATGTGCTCCAAAGTTCCCAACAAACCAAACTCCTACTCAGGGGTTCCAGGAAAGCATTTTAAGGGAGATGGAGTGTGTTTATGCCACAGACCCCCCAGCTGTGCTTCCCGAGTCATGAAAGGCATCAGCTGCCAGCGAGGCCTCGGGGCTCACGAGCAAACCAGTGCCACCAGCCTTGCTCAGCCCCACACTACCCTCCATCCCTCCCTCCTCTTATTTCCCAGGAGCCTGAACACTGCCTTGACAACACACTTCAATCCAGGACTTCACAAACTGCACAACAAGCTTTCAAAGAACTACCAAACCCAAGTGGTTTAGGTCTCAAAGTTTAACCCTGCACATGTTTCAAGTTATAATTGTAAACTCCAAAGACATTTGTTAGAAGAGCTCAAATTTATTCCTCTAGACAACAAATCCCTCCCCAGTCTAACACATTCCTGGTAAAACCTGCTCTGGCCAGAAGACTAGTTTTAAGGATTAAGTTAATGCTAATACAGCCTTCAGTAAGAATAACCAACCTAACTGGCAACACCAAGAAGTCAATCAGGTGAGTAAAAAGTCAGCACCCTTTAGCAGTCAGCTCCAGTAATTTTATTTGGTGCACAGCAGAGATCCTTAAATCCACCCCAAAACACTAGATGTATCCCTCTAGATTATCCAAAGTCCTCTTTGCTTGGACTCCATGGGCTTTCTACCCTGCTCCAGTTTGAGCTGCTTCCACACTGTATTTTACTCAGAGATCACATCACTAGCTTGATTATAAACCTAATTTCTGCCTCAGGTTGCTGTTGTGAGTGAAACAAGCTTTCCATCTGCCTTTAGCAAGTCTACTTGCCCGAAGCCCCCGAACCCTTCAGCAACAGGCAGTGTAGGGTGATGTTACAAAATCCTGACTTATGTAACCAAAAAGGAACTCGCAGCCACTTAGCCATGAATTGTTCCCAGCTCCCAACAGAGCCAAGCAATAGGGAATGAGGGCCAAAGTCGAATGGATCACACCCAGCCTCACCTCAGGACCACAAAGGGCAGTGCCAGCTCCCTGGGCAAGACCCACAGGGCAGGAGGGTGGGAACAGCCTCTGCACCTTCCCTGGGCCAGCAGCACCTCCCTGCCAGGTGCCAGAGCCTGGATCCAGCTGGCATTTCCCTCAGCTCCTCTCACCCAGCAGCACCAGGCAGTGTTTTCATGCGTGCACCAAGGTCAGGCCACCAATTCCCTGCCACATCCATGGGGGTTCTCCTGCCTGGACTACGATTCCAGAGCATCTGCTGTTCTAATGCTGCTACCCTGATTAACAGCAGCATTTTAATCCTTCCCTTTTGACAGAAACTGCTTTTGCAATGCTTGAAGTGGCTCAGATCCTCCAACTTTGACTCCTTCCAAGACTGCAGAAGTCAGGAGGCATCTGAGCAGCATGAAAAGATTCACGAAGCACAGCAATAACCAAGGTACGTGTTATAAACACGTTCTGATATAACTGTCACCTTTCCTTCTTTATTTTTTTCAAAGCCTGCACAGGAAGAAGACCAAAGCAATGTATAACTTCCTCCTGGGGTAGAGTCTGAGTATCAAAACACCTCTCCAGCTCAGAGAAGCCTCCCAGCCCTCCCTGTACACAAGCTCTCCGACACAGATGGGCTGTGCTGGCAGCTCCCCGCACACAGCCAGGCCCAGCGGAAGAACCCAGTTGCTCCCACTGGCTGCTGTACAGAACCGGGAGCGCCAAAATAACATGAGTTCACTCAGCACAGGTAGCACAACTACAGCTCTGAACACCAACTGCACCACTGATCTCACATCCCACCCACGGGCACGGCTCTTTTTGGCAGAGGTGATGTCTAAGCATCCCCAAAGGTCGGGCAGCTCTGAGCTCCAGGACTCCAGCAACTACCATCACCCTCCTCCACAGCTGAGCAGGAACTGATGGAAGTCAGAGTTTAGTTCTGTGAAGCATTACCTGGATTTTGGGCCTCTACAGTACAAGCAACAGTAATCCACCACTCCTCTGCTACAGAAAACGCTTTACTTGAGCAGGGCTCGGGCACAGCTGCTGCCTTCCCTTCCCCCTCAGCCGCCGATCACACAGGGGAGCCCAGGAAAGACAATGAGCTAACCTTTCCCTTGCTCTCCCATTCAAAGAACTCCAAACGCTGCCCTAGTTATCCAGTTATAGGTATTGCATTCCCTACAGATAAGCAACATAGATGGGGACGTGGCTGAATCCAAAGTGCTTCGGCTTAAACCTTAAAATGGAAGCCACTCACTCTGGCCCTCCTGTCTCCCTCCCATCCCGCCCCTGGATTGCTTCACTCTGCATTTCCTATGAATTTACCCACGATAACACAGATGATTGTTATGTACAAACAACTATTTAATTGCTGCACTTCACGGTTATCTCAGGACTCTGCCTGGCAGCCCTGCTTACACCCCAAACGGTTCTACAAGAAGAGATTTCCACTTTCAGGCCTGTGAGCCAGTAAAAGGCACCTAAACAAGAATTTGAAGCCCCACTGCCCAAAATACTGCAGTGAGTAACAGGGGCAGCAATCCGAGAGCAGGTCTCACCCAGGCTGAGCTCTTCTGGAGCATCTGCTCAGAGAACAGCTGCTGCTCCGTGCACACACGTTATCCCAGCATGAGCCTCTGGACAATCCCAAGAGCAACTGTGCCAGAGGGACAGGCTGGGACAGACCCTGCAGGTTCCTGTGCTGCCTCACACACCAGCAACAATGCTGCTCACCCAGTGTAAACTCCTGGTTCTGCCCCCTCTTCCAGCCCAGAGCAGCTCAACATGCAAGAGGCCATTTCAGGTAACACTGTATCGAAGGTTTACTCTCGGGACTTTCTCCTCCTTTCCAAGTTCTCCTCCCTATGTTATGCGAGGACACAAAAATTTTGGACAAAGCGTCACAGAAAGGCCTTTGTGGTTCGGTATAAAACCCAAACTGCCAAGAGCAAGGTCCAGCGACCAGCCTGAGCCCTGCACACTGATACACCGTGACTGATACCACCCTCAAAAAAAGCCAGAGCAGCAGTTTTGCCTCCCATGGCGTCTCTGTGCTCCACTCCACCGGCATTATTCTTACCCGACCCACACTCTGCAGGCTCCTGCTCTTGCCACAAGTTGCAGCAGCAAAGGTCAGTAGCTGTCTGTCCCCTCGTTATCCTGACAGGGATGGCCACCACACACTCCCAGAGCCCAGAACAACCCGGAGATGATGATAGGAGAGCTCTCCACAGGGTTTAAAATAGCCAGAGTGTAAACAACCAGCCATGATTACTGGAGCAGTCAGGGCCAGACACCCACAGCAACTCAGAGTGCTCCTTCCAGCCTGGAGCTCCACTCCCAGCCAACTTCTAGAGCACCTGGGCTGCTAAAACAGACAAGTTTATTTCCCTCCACACAGGTTTTCTGCTGGAAATGCTGCCTTCAGCCCTATCATCTCCCTCTCCTCCACAGCCCCCACCACACTCACTCCACTGGCACTCTTGGTGCTTTGCAGAGCTCACACAGCACTGCTCTGGAGCTTTGAAGACTCTCATAACCTCACACAGTCCCAATTATCCCTCGGGGTTCTTTATCCTTGAAAAGCAGCAGGAAGAGTCAGTCCACAAGCACCCAACGTTAACAAAGACCGAACACATCCAGCTCCTCTCCTGTCACAAACCAGCCTGGAAACAAAAGTGCTCTCAGAGCGCTGACTCCTGACCCTGAGCTCCCACTGAACTACAACCAAGCAGCTTTCCCGAGTTACCTGACAGGGAATTCACTATCCCCACAACAGCCCTGTGTGTCCCCCAGCCACATTTACCCCCCTCAGCATCCACTGCTGTGTCTCCCAGGTCTATCGACCCACTCTCAAGGAGGAAGAAGCCTTCCCAGACACCTGTGAGCCCAGGTGTCCTCACAGGGCCCTGAGGATCCCCAAAGTAAGGGACAGGACACTGCAGACAAGCAGCACTCAGCTGGAGCACAACTTCCTTATGTAACTCAGTACCGGGCCCTCAGCTGGAAAAATCTAACACCCTAAAACCACACTCCAAATCCTCCCCTTCCAAGTGCCACCTATTCCATGAGCAAAAGTAAGGCTTCAAGCTCTCTTCCATTTTTCTTCTCCACCACCTGAGCTTTAAACTGATCATGAAGCTTCACAAAGCCTCCAAGGTAACCTACGAGCAAAGCAGAGATGTTAACACAGACCCGACAGCACACACAAAATCAAACAGGGCTACAAACTGCCTGAGTGGGAGCTGGGGGAATTGGCAGCTGATTCTACACAAAAATTAGATTTAAGTAGTCACTGAGAGCAGAAACACCATGGGAGGGCTATTTTCTACACCTGACCCTTGTATACAGACTCCAAACTGACAGCTACACATTTTTGCAGGGAAAAGGATACAAATTCACTAAGGAAAAACAAGTGGACTCCAATAACCCTCGAGCATTTTTTTTTTCCTGGTAAAAGACACTGATGATCAAGCAGACACTTTTAAGACAGCACGGGAGTTGGGCAGCAGCGTTTTCCCAGAAGGCCAGGACACGGAGCAGGGTTCCAGGGAGGGGAAGGCAAGGCTGTCGCTTCCCTTCGGAGCCTGCGGGATGACTCAGGCGGTAGCACAGCTCCATTAGAGGAGCTAAACCACAGCGCCGTGTGACAGCTTCACCGCGCTCGGGGCCGCGATCCGGAGCGCTGGGACAAGGCCCAGCGGAACTTCCAGCGCGGGGAAGGGCCGGGCCGGGCCGGGCCCCCGCGGGGCCGCAGCGGCCGCCGGGCCCGCACCACCCCCGGCCCGGCCCGGCCCCGCCACCGGCGCCCCCTCGCGGCCCCGGCCCGGCCCCGGGGGGCCACGTTGCTCCGGAGGGGCCCGGCCTGGGCCCCCCTCGAACAAAGCGGGAGCGGCCCCCGCGTTGCCGCCCGGCCTGGGCCCAGCGCGGCGCGGCCCGGCCCGACCCCCCCAACCCGGGAGCGGCAGCCGCGGGGCCCCGGCAGGGTTATGTAAGGCGGGCGGCGCGGGGCCGGGCCGGGCCGGGCGGCCCTTACCTTGTGGATTCTCTTCAGCGCCATTGTGTGCGCGAGGCGGCGGCAGGAGGGGCGCGGGCGGAGGGAGGGGGCGGCCCGCGGGACTATTTGCGAGGGGAGGGGGGAGGAGGAGGAGGAGGAGCAGCGCGGAGGTGGTGGCGGCGACGGCGGCGCGGGGAGGGGACGGGGAGGGGACGAACGGACGGAGAGAGCGGAGGGGAGGGAGGGGACCGGGGCCCCCCGGGGCGGCGGGGCCGGGGCCGAGCCGGTGTCGGGGCGGTGGCGGCCGCGGGCTCAGCGGTGCCGCAGCTCCTCCGCTCCCTCCGCCGCCGCCGCTTTATGCGCTACCTCCGCGCCGCCCGCCGCAGATCACTCCGCCGCCGCCGCTTCCCCCCCAGCCGCGGGCCGCGCTGCCGGTTACCGGCGCGGAGGGGGAAGGATGGGGCAGAACGGGGAGGCCTGAGCGGCACCGGCGGGAGCAGGAGGGGCTGGGAGGGGTGTGTGCGGAGAGGGGGACGGGGAGCGGCGGGGGACTATTTGTCGTGCGGGGCCGCCGTGCAGAACTCTCCAGAAGGGGGAGGGGTGGCGCGCGGAAGGATACGGCGGCCGGCCGGCCGGGGGAGTGAGGCGCAGAGCGCGCGCGCGCGCGGGGGGCGCGTGACGCGGCGGCGGCGTTGTCTCGCGAGAGCTGCGGGCGGGAAGAAGTCCCGGCAGGGCCGGGAGCGGCCTGAGGGGACCGGGATTGGGACGGGAAGGGGAAAGGGAAAGGGATGGGACACAACATGACATGACATGACATGACATGACATGACATGACAGCCCGCCCCGCAGCACCCTGGGGAGGGGCACATGGTGTGTGTGTGTCGTTCAGGGGTGACACGTGCGCACAGCATTGGCGATTCATGGGATGGCCTGGGTTGGAAAGGGATCTTGAAGTTCCATCGTGTTCCATCCCCCTGCTACGGGCAGGGACACCTTCCTCTAGCCCAGCTTGCTCCAGCCTGGCCTTGGACACTCCCAGGGATCCAGAGGCAGCCACAGCTTCTGTGGGCACCCTGTGCCAGGGCCTCCCCACCCTCACAGGGAACAATGTCTGCCTAATGTTTAATCTAAACCTGCTCCCTTTCACTGGGAAGCCATTCCCTGTGTCCTGTCTCTCCATCCCTTGTCCCTAGTCGCTCTCCAGCTCTCCTGGAGCCCCTTTAGGCCCTGGAAGGGGCTCTCAGGTCTCCCCAGAGCCTTCTCTTCTCCAGGTGAACCACTCCAGCTCTCCCAGCCTGGCTCCAGAGCAGAGGAGCTCCAGCCCTTGGAACATCTCTGGGGCCTCCTCTGGACTCACTCCAGCAGCTCCACATCCCTGTGCTGTCGTTCCCCAGGGCTGGAGGCAGCTCTGCAGGGGGGTCTCAGCTGAGGGGGCAGAGGGGCAGAATCCCCCCTGCCCTGCTGCCTGCACTCCTTGTTCCTTGTCAGGCAGATATTGTCTCCCCACACTGTTCCTGCTGCCCCTCACACCTTCCCCCAGCATGGCATTTGAGGAGATATTCCACCTGCAGATTCCTGCCTTCTGTCTCCCAGAGAGGGAGCAGGTCCTGCAGCCCCTGTGGTCTCATCCCAGGGACACCGCTGTGCTCTTGGCTCCTGTTCCAGAGGGAAGCACTGAGGGATCTGCTCCCTGTGCCTGCCAACACCATCCTGTGCCAACACCTCCCGCTCCCGAACAGCAGAGCATCACTGGGGGAGTTCTCTGAGTCCTGCCTTGTCCTCAGATGACTCCTGTCTCCATGAGCCTTTCCTTCATCTCCCTCTGATCAGCTCTGCTCCACAGGGTCAGGTTGCAGGGATGTATTAGGGGAAAAAAAAAACTCAAAGTGATGAGGAAAGGCACAAGAATTTAACGGAACACAAATTTCCCAGCTGAGCTGGCTAAATCTGGTCTTTTAGGCTTTGGTGACCTCTGGGACCTTTCTTAGAAGGTGGAGAAAGGTCATTCTAAAGGAGGGAAACACAAGTGGGAAAGAAAAAAAATCCCCAGTGTTGGGCACACAGATAACGTTGAGCAAAGCTCAAAGAAAAACCTCCCTGAAAAACGGTCCAGGAGCAGCTCCCGTCCCAAAGGTGCTCTGCCCAGCAGCACCACCCCAGTCATGGAATCATGGAGTGGTTTGGGTTGGAAGGGACAGTAAAGCTCATCTCATTCACCCCCTGCCATGGACAGGGACACCTTCCACTAGCCCAGGTTGCTCCAAGCCCTGTTCATCCTGGCCTTGGACACTTCCAGGGATGGGGCAGCCACAGCTTCTCTGGGCAACCTGTGCCAGGGCCTCCCCACCCTCATAACTAAAAATTTCTTCCCAGCATCCCATCTAACCCTTCTTGCTGTCTGTAGGAAGCCATTCCCCTTTATCCTGTCCCTCTCCAGCTATCCTGGAGCTCCTTGAGGCACTGGAAGGGCTCCAAGGTCTTCCCAGAACCTTCAGTTTTCCAGGCTGAACCGTGGAAGTTCTGGAGCAGAGCCTTAAAGATCCTGGGATAAGTTAGCCAGGCTGCCAGCTAAAAGCCTTTTGGTCCCAAAGGGAATTCTTTGGCACCTCAGTTCAAAGCATTTCCAAAAAGAACTTCCGAACTTCCATACACAAGTTGCCCTGTGTGTCACGAGGAGACTCCCACCACATCAACCACAGCTTGTCCCTCCCCTGCTGCCATTCCCAGGCTTGGCTGTACCCAGATGCCAGGGCAACCACTGTCCCTTCCATCAAGAGACCAGATGGATCAGAATCCACAGGAACACTTATCAAGGAGCTTCCTTCTGTGGGGTTTCAACCCAGGGGTCAGTGCTTTGGAAATGCTTTTTTCAGTCTTTTCCCAATCCCGTGGAATTTGGGTCAGTGGAACCTGGGGCATCACAACCAGGAAGAAAATACATGGAATCATTCCCATAATAGTTTTGAAATTCTAGGTGACTCAAATAGATGAGTCTTGCCATGAAATGATTGGATTTCTTTCAACTCTGGCATGGACTGCCCAGGGCAGTGGGGGAGTTCCCAAACTGGAGGGATGTAAAAGGCACGTGGATGTGGCACTTGGGAGCCCCTGCTCCAAAGTGATTTCCCATTTCTGGAGCCCTTTGCCCTTCATGGGATGAATCCAATCCAGGATTGCCACAGTTTCTAAGCTTAACAGAAGTAACTTGTGAAGTGACTTGCTCTTGTTCTCAGTTAAATGTGTTTGAAACTAAGTTGGTCTGAGAAACTGTGAAAATTTTTATTCTTTAAATAAAGCCAGGATTGGAGGGGTTGGGCTTTTTTATTTTTATTTTTTAAATAAACAGTGACAGAGCAGTCATGGAATGGTTAAACCTCCTCAAACAGAAACAGCAGGAGCTTTTGTGGCAGAAATCAGTGCTGACAGTTTTAGGCAAGCCCTGAATTCTTTGTCTCCATGTTCCCAGCTCACCCTCCTGTCAGGGAGCTGTAGAGAGAGAGAAGGTCCCCCCAAGCCTCCTTTTCTCCAGGCTGAGCCCCCCCAGCTCCCTCAGCTGCTCCTGGTGCTCCAGACCCTTCTCCAGCTCTGCTCCCTTCCCTGGACACGCCCCAGCCCCTCAATGCCCTCCTTGTGAGGGGCCCAGAACTGACCCCAGGACTTGAGGTGAAGTCTCATCAGTGCAGGGGACAGTCATGGGACCTGGAGGGGACCTGGAGGACCTATTCAAGGCATTTTGAAAAGCTTATTTTCAAAGAAAATGGAGCACCTGAGATGCTCCAGCCCAAGAAAAGGATGTCTGAGGTCTGAAACCATCAGTGATTTCGGGAGGAGGAAAGGGCTGGTTCATGTCCCTCCCAGCGCAAGAACAGGGACACCCCAACCAACACCAGCCTGTGACAGCTCCAAAAGGAGCAAAAATGGTTTCTGCACCCAACACTGATGATCCTTGTAGGTCCCTTCCAACTCAGGATATTCCTGATTCTATGCACTGCTTGGCTGAGCGAGTGAGAGACGACGTGTCCTCGGGAGCCGGGGGAAGCAGGTCCTGCTGCCACCAGATTTTACCCAGCACATGGTGGCTCCTCACTGCACCAGAGACTGGCCTGGCTCACACACAATACTGCAGAGCACTTGATTTCTGCTATTTTGTGGCAGTAAAGCAGCCCCATCACACAGCACCTCTGGGGGACACTGTTGGTGCAACTGCAGCACTAAAAACACCGTCTGCAGCACTTTTTAGCCAGGGGACTGAAAAAAAGGGACCAAAGGCACCTTTGACACCAGCCTGGCATCAGAACCCCATCCCTGCAGGTATCCCCAGTGAAAAGCTGTCACTGGGCACCCTGCCCTTGGGGTGGAGCCAGCAGCTCTACCTGCTCTTGCAGGGCAAGGGAAAACAAGGGGATTGAAGGAAGGAAGTGCTGCCATGTCGATCCTGAAGAGCCAGCTCTGTTATGCTGCTGCCTGCCTTCACCCAGGGGATGCCAGGGAAAACGTGGTGCTCCTGGCTTGGCTTTTGGCTGGGAACACTCCATGTGCATCCAGCACCTGCTCTGACCACCTTCAGCCCCACATTGGTGGCCCCAGCTCCTGGGGTAGGAAGGGATTAATCCCCCTCACACCTAAGGCACCTCATGCCCGTGGGTCTCCAGAGGGCAGGGCTCTGAATTTCATCAAATTCACAGCATCCCCCTGATCTCAGTGAGGTCAGCAGTGCTGGTGGGCTGCTTTACAAAGAGTCCTCTCCTGTGCCCAGCTAAACCTCAAGCAGGTGTTTGGCACCAGCCTGGTTGGAGCTGCCTTGGCACTGATCTGGGAAGGTCCTTGCTGGGTTTTTTTATGCATCTAAAATCTCTCACTGTCACTCCTGACTTCTTATTCCCTCTGCTCGAGGGAACAACAGCAAACAGGGACAGAGGGAACTTCGATCAAGGCGTGATCTGGAAAAGCAAATTGTTGGCCAGAGCAGAAGGCCAGGGACAACAACGTGGGCAGTGGGCTCTCCATTCCTAGGCAAGCTCAGATGTTGAAGGTGTCCAGAGGAGGCCACAGAGATGCTCCAAGGACTGGAGCCCCTCTGCTCTGGAGCCAGGCTGGGAGAGCTGGAGTGGTTCACCTGGAGAAGAGAAGGCTCTGGGGAGACCTGAGAGCCCCTTGCAGGGCCTAAAGGGGCTCCAGGAGAGCTGAAGAGAGACTGTGGACAAGGTATGGAGGGACAGGACAAGGGGGAATGACAGAGCAGGCCATGCAAGACCAGCTGGAATGGGACAACCTTTCTCCCAGCACTGGAGGAGGAAGTCATTCCTCCTGGTGCTTTAGCCAACCTTTGTGTTGGCAAAGCAAACAACATGTTGGCTGTACCCACAGGCCCTCCTGGGCTGGGAACACCGGCCAGATGGTTTGCTGGGGCTTCCACGGTACCACCAAAACAAGCAGCTCACTGCCAGCTCCTCCAGGCTCCTGCTCCTTCCTCCCACTCTCCGGGTTTGAAAACGCTTGAATTATGTCCAGGGAAGGCCAGTGGAGCTGGGGAAGGGTCTGGAGCACCAGGAGAACTGAGGGAGCTGGTGGGGGCTGAGCCTGGAGAAAAGGAGGCTGAGGGGGAACCTCACTCTCTGCTATTCCCTGACAGGAGGGTAGAGCTGGGTGGAGGATGAACTCTGCTCCCAGGGAATGAGGGACAGGGCAAGGGGAAACGGCCTCCAGTTGTGTCGGGGGGGGGGGAGGGGTTAGATCTGATATTAGGGAAAATTTCTTCATGGAAAGGGTGGCCAGGCACTGGCACAGGCTACCCAGGGCAGTGGTAGAGTCACCATTCCTGGAGGGATTTAAAAGCTGTGTGGATGTGGCACTTGGGGACATTGCTTAGGGGTGACTTGGCAGTGCTGGGTTAATGGTTGGACTTGATGATCTGAAGGGTCTTCTGCAATCTAAATGACTCTAATATTCTAATTAAATGTGACCTGTGGGTACATCTGAGTCAAGATCCCTGTGCTGTGGGCCTGCAGCAGCCTGTGGAGCCCCCGGCAGTGTGGGTCTGTGGGGACTGCGAGGGTGCCCTGGCACCAAGGGGCATTCCTGGGCAGAAAGTAATGGCACCCAGAGCACATTCTGGACAGTGCCCCCCTTGCCCAGCCTGTATCCACCCAGTTTGGCTCCACAGAGGCTGCAGGTGACCATGCTGAGGGTTTTGCTGAAGTGAAAGTGCTCCCTCATCCTCACAGCTGGTTTTCCTGCCATTCCAGGCAGTCAGGTCGGTCGGGTGTGACGTGTCCTGTGTAAATCCCTGCTGACTGTTCCCTTCTCATCCTTCAGGTGCTTGGCACTGACTGCTGGGAGGATTTGCTCCCTCACCTTCCCAGAGACAGGGGTGATGTTGGGCAGGCTGCAGTTCACCTGCTGGAGCTGGGTGTGAGGTTTGGCCTCTCCCACTCACCAGGAACATCCTGATTGTCACAACCTTCCAAAGGGATCAGAGAGGAGCCTTGTCAGGGCATCATCCATCTCCCTCAGCATCCTTGAGTGCATCCCACCCACTCCTATGGGCATCTTCCTCCAGGAGGGGATTGCCTCACCACTGCAAACTCCCCTGCTCAGACCAAGGAATGAGGAAGCTTGAGGGCATCCCTGGCTGCAGGAAGCCCCTGTGGTGATGCCAGCACCCATGGGCACTGCTTCCCAAGCTGGCATCTCCTGGAGGTGTGTGGGGTGGGGGGGATCCAGGGCTCTGTGAGTCACCCTCTCCTAGACGGAATTTCATTCTGTTTTGCCCCTGGCAACCTGCTGTGATGAACAAATGCAATCTGTGAGATCTGCTGCTCTTAATAAATCAATCTTGAGAAATTCTGGTTTCCTTCCTCATTCCAGCTCGGCTTAGACCGTCCTGGCAGACACTTTGGGGCTTTCCAGGAGTTATAAACTCACGGATATCGAAACCTGCCACATCCACCTGGAGCTCCCCAGTGCCTGGATTCCCAGTGGGGTGAGACCTCGCGGGTGCCCTGCGTGGGAGAGCTCTGATGCTTTGCAAAGTGCCCGCTGCTGCGGCAGCTCCTTTCATTTTCACTTTTCTGGGCGTGGGAGCCGCGCAGCTCCAGCCGTGGCCTCAGAAGCCTCCGGGTCTGTGTCTGCGGCACCTCCGAGGGGAGCCACAGCTGTCCGGGCGGGAGCGCAGAGTCCCTTAAACCGCACCCGGGAAAGGCAGCGCAGCCCGCGCTGGGAGCTGGGAATCGCTCCGGTGAGTGCCGGCGGAGCAGGGAGGGCTGGCACCGGTTTGGGAGCGGGGTGGCCAGCCAGGCTTGGCTCTGCCGAGCCCATTTAGTCCCCGGGGGACATCCCCGAGGGCGGGAAGCACGGGGGAAGGTCCCCGGCAGCGCGCCAAGGGTTGTGCGCTCCGGGGCGCCCGGTGGGCACGGGATGCTCCGCACCTGACCCGCTCTCCCCATCTCCCCCTCTCCCCGCAGGGCTGCCGTGGGCGCTGGGAACGAGCCGGTGGCGACCCCCGCGTGTGCCACAGATGTCCCGCGAGCCGTGGCGGCCGAGCCACCCGTGTGCCCCGGCGATCCCGCGGGCGCGGGGCGGGCGGGCACAGCTCGCCGTGTTCCTGCTGCTGGCGCTGTGCGCGGCCGGGCTGTTCCTGGCCGGGGAGCCCCTCGTGCCCACCGCCCGCAGCCTCACCTTCCACTTCGCCACGCTGCAGGTCGGGGCGCTGCTCAAGGGCGCCTGCTACCTGGCCGAGGAGGTCTTCCACCTCCAGTCCAGGTGAGACAATTTGAGGGGGGAGGGGGAGGTGGAGGATCCGTCTGCCAAACTCCTGGGACCGCCCTGCAGACAAGGGCGCTGCACCCTCCGGGTGTCGTGGGTTTGCTCTCTGTGGCAAGGCTGTGCTGTGCCCTCCATCGCCCTCCTGCCCCTGTCGTCTCTTCCTCCCTCTCCTCCTCTCCCCCTCTCCCACCTGCCCCGTATGGGTGTGGGTGTGGATCTCTCCTTGGTGTGCCCTTTCCCTGGGGAACAGATCTCGCTCCCAGCCTTTCCCCACCACCCAGCACTGCAGGGCAGGAGGCTGCTGTGTCCCTTTCCTGTCCAGGGTGACATGCCATCTGCTCCCTCTGAGTCCCAGGGGTGCCACAAGCCCTCCCCTGGGGTGCACCGGGCAGGGTCCCCCAGGGCTCCCTGGCTCTGTCCTGCCCTGGTTGGTGAGGTTGGTGGCCCTGGCTGGGAGGCGGGATCACCCAGTGCCCCGTGGGCTGCAGATGGCGAGTGGGTGGCCACCAGCCTGACTCCCGTCTCCCTCTCCCACCCAGGCACCACGGCAGCTTCTGGAGGGCCCTGAGCACCTGCCTCCCCCCGCGCTGGCACGGGGCCATGCTGCTCCTCTGCGGCTCCGCCTACGTGGCTCTCGTTGGGGATGGGCAGCCCCTCGGCCTCCACCTCGGCCTGGCCAGCCTGTGCCAGCTCCTCATGCTCGCCCTGGGGCTCCAGGTAAGGCTCCAACACCTCCAGCCTGGCTGGTTTCCTGGGAGCCCTTCAGTGCTGAGCAGCTGTAGGGGCACATCCCCAGCTCTGCGTGGCCCCTGCATGCCCAGCCCACCCACAGGCAGCCTGGCAGTGGGAGGAACACCCTCAGCTCAGCCCTGAGAGCTGATCTCCCTGGCCCCATGCTGCCACATGCATTGGCATGGGTGTCATGCTGCCTCCTAATGAGCACAGTCACTGTGGAGGGTTGGCAGAGCCCCCCTGACACAAAAAATGGGGGGATTTTACATCTGCCAGTCGAGCTGGTGCTTGTGGGGAAAGCCTCTTGAGGGTTAATTAGCATCGTGCTGTGGGGGCAGAGCCAAGCTCCACGTGCCCCTGCAGCTCTGGGAGGGCTCTGCTGTGCCCCTGCAGTGCTGGAAGGGGAGGGGGGTCACACAGGCTGCTTTGGGAACCCATCTCCACCTAAATGAACACTGGAAATCCTGGTATCCCTGGGATATCTCCTCTTCCATGCTGGGAGCACTGGGCAGGTGCAAAAGTTGCACTGGGACACACGATCCCAATGGAGGGTGCAGCCAGGAAAGAGCCCAGCTCACCCCAGCCCCCCTCCCTCCCAGCAGGGGCTGTCAGGGGCTCTGCCCCACTGCCCAGTGTGGTGGTAGAAGGGCTCAGTGGGGTTGCTCACTCTCCAGATCTCATTGGAGTTCTCCCATCCCTCTGGAGAACCGACTGTCATGGAAGGGCCCAGGTGGCTCTTTCACCCCCTGGTCTGTCTGTCCTTCCCTCCACAGAAGCCCTCAGCAGTGGAGGTGTCTGAGATGTCCGAGAGCTCCAAGCAGAACGTCGCCCACGGGCTGGCCTGGTCCTATTATGTTGGGTACCTAAAAATAGTCCTGCCACGTACGTAGCTGTTTCCCTGCATTCTCGTGCCTACAGATAGAAATAGCTCCTAATAACAATCCTCCCACTTTTACAGTGCTAGCAGGGAGATGGGGAGCAAGGCAGAAGGCAGCTGTACTTACACCAGGCCCCTCTGCCTGATGTTCTCTTCCACCAGGGGTGAAAAAGTCCATGGAGGAATTCTGCAGCGCCAACCCCAACCTGCTGGCGTGCAGGAAGACCTGGAAGCTCCACATCTTGATCCCTCTGAGCTGTGATGTCTATGATGACCTGGAGAAAGCTGACAGCAACATCCAGTACCTGACAGACCTCAGTGAAACCACCATGGCCCGAGCTGGCACCAAAAGGCGGATCTACAAACACAGCCTCTATGCAATCAGGGATGAAGAAAACCAGGTACAGTGAAAGCAGCGCTGGGGGCATCATCCCAAAGGTCTTCCTGGCCTCAGATCCCAGCCCAGAAGTGGCTGTAACTGCAGGACAGTGTCCCCTCTCCTATTAGATACTCCCAGCTTTCAGCAGGCTTCCATTGGAAGGACAGGTCCTGTTCCTGCACTCCTTCCTCCTGGCTGCCTCCTCCCACCCAGGCTCAGCCCTTGCAGGGGTGCTGGGCTTGCTTAACCCCTCCTGGAGTTGATTTAAGTCCAGAAGACTGAGCAGAAAAAAAGCAGATGTGGGCTACAGAGCATCAATTCCCATGGGATGTATGAGTGTTTCCTTGTGTTGTGAAGAGGTGCTTGGAAATGTCTGTGTGAGTCATTGTTTGGCTCCCTCCCTGTCCCCCAGTCACCTCTTTTCCAGGCTGGTGAGCCCTAAGTCCCTGCATTTCACATTGCATCCATCTCCAGGCAGGTGGGCTGTGCCCCTGCATCCTTGGAGGAGGGAACACCCTGGTCCCGTGCCGTGGCTGTGGATGGAGGTGTGGGCAGAGCTCCTCACGTGGGTGCCCCTGATCTGCCCTTTGAGGGGGGCTGAGCGCTGAGCTCCTGCTCTTAGAGCCCTGTCTGAGGGACCACAGAGCCTCCTCCTGGCCCTGCTCTGGGGAAAATTCAGCCAGCAGCAGGATTTTCCCAGTGTTCCATCTGCCAGGCCCTGATGAGTCACCCAGCCCCCTGGGAGCTCCAGCAGCTCCAAGCCTGGACCTGCCCTAGCCCATTGCATGTTCCCAGTAAAATCTGCCCCTCAGCTTCCTGCCCGGTCCCTCACAGCAACACAACACCCACCTCTGGCATCTGTTCCAGGGCACACTGCCAAGGCCAGGAGCTTCCTGCTACTCCACCTTTTCCCGGAGATCCCACTCCTCTTCTTTCTAAGTTTATTAAACTTCCCAGTTTACCCAGTGTAAGACTTACTGGTAGCTGCTCCTCCTTAGAATGTCTGTGGCCTTAACAAATCTCTCCTTGTTTGTCTGATCAGCCTCCTTCCAGCTGTGCATCCATCTTGCCAGTGTTTATCCTCTTCTCTGCCCTCCTGCTCTCTGTTAGGATGTTCAGACTTAGAATCATAGAATCACAGAACATCCTGAGCTGGAAGGGACTCACAAGGATCATCCAGTCTGACCCCTGACCCTGCCCAGGACACCCCAACGATCCCACCCTGTCCCTGAGGGCACTGTCCAAACCCCTCTTGAGCTCTGGCAGCCTTGGGGCTGTGCCCACTGCCCTGGGGAGCCTGTTCAGTGCCAACCACCCTCTGGGGGAAGAACCTTTTGCTGAGATCCAACCTAAACCTCCCCTGGCACAGCTCCAGCCGTTCCCTCGGGTCCTGTCACTGCTCACAGAGAACAGAGATTGGAGCTGCCTCCCCACTGCCCCTTGTCTGGCAGAAAAGCCACCAAGGAGGTGTGATCACAGGGAAGGGATGTCTCTCTAGGGGACCAAATTCCCTGGGGAAAATCACCCTCCAGGCTACAGGACAAAAGCCAGTGGCTGCAGCCCATGGGCAAAGGCAGCTCCCTGAGCCCAGCTGGGCCTGCCAGGCCAGTTGCTCTTTCCCTGCTCTGCACAGGGCAGGGGGGTCTGGCCCCAGTGTCCCTGTCCCAGTGTTCCAGCACACAACACCAGAGCAGGGCAGGGCCAAGGAGCTGGCCAGGGGGGCTGAGGGCTCTGCCCAGAGCAAGTTCTACCAGCAGCCCTTTCCCAGGTCCTCCTGTCCCCATGTCTCTTCCTCCCTGCTGTCCCTGCAGCTCTGGCACTGTGCAGTGGAATATGCCACCCCCCTGCAGTCCCTCTACGCCATGTCCCAGGATGAGTGTGCTGCCTTCAGCCGGGAGGAGCGCCTGGAGCAGGCCAAGCTCTTCTACAGGACCTTGGAGGAGATCCTGCAGGGCTCCAAGGACTGTGCAGGGACCTACCGGCTCATCGCCTACGAGGGTGAGTGGGGACAAGGGTTGGGGTGTGACAGCACTTGCTCTGCCAGGTCTTGGGTGACCTCAGATCAGGACAAACAGGGGAAAGCAGGCAAGGTATGAGCAGGGCTCGGCTGATCTCCCCACTCAGGGGGCCATAGGGGAGGGAGAGGCTGTCTCACAAGGAATGGGAACGTCACTGAACACCCCCAGCTGGGTGAGGGAGGGGTTGTCCTGCTCTGCTCTGCCCTGGGGCAGCCTCACCTCGAGTGCTGGGGGCAGTTTGGGGCACCACAGTATGGGAAAGATCTACAGCTGGTGGAGAGTGTCCAAAGGAGGGACATGGGGATGGGGAAGGGTCTGGAGGGGCCATACAAGGACTGGCTGGGGGCACTTGGTGTGTTCAGTTGGAGAAGAGGAGACTGAGGTCAGACCTCACCGGGGTCTGCAGCTCCTCACGAGGGGCAGCTCCAATCTCTGCTCTGTGTGAGCAGGGACAGGACCTGAGGGAATGGCTGGAGCTGTGTCAGGGGAGGTCTGGGTTGGATCTCAGGAGAAGGTTCTTCCCCCAGAGGGTGGTTGGCACTGAACAGGCTCCCCAGGGCAGGGGGCACAGCCCCAAGGCTGCCAGAGCTCAAGAGGGGTTTGGACAGTGCCCTCAGGGACAGGGTGGGATCGTTGGGGTGTCCTGGGCAGGGTCAGGGGTCGGACTGATGGTCCATGTGGGTCCCTTCCAACCCAGGATATTCCACGATTCTATGATTCTAAGGACTTTTAGCTGTGGGTCTGAGGAGTGTGGAGGGTGCTGGCAGTGCTAATCAGCCCTGTTGAAGTCCCTAAAAGCACTGGGACAAGCTCTCTACCCCTGGGACAATAAGAACACTTCCTCAAGGATTAAAAACAGCAGACATCCAGGGGTAGGAGCAGCTCCCTTCCCTGCTGATGTTCCTGGAAGAAGTGGCTGGGGCTGTCAAGCTCACCCCAGCAGTGGGACGAGTACGAGCTGGCTCAGTGCCATTCCTCCTGACAGGGGATGGCAGGGAGCGAGGCTTTCCCTCCTTCCCATCTTCCTTTCATCCCCCATCTCCTCACCCCTGCCAGATGAAATCAGCATCTTGCTGAAAGGAACGTTGCTTGTTTTTCAGAGGAAACTCAGCGCTCTCCCTGATGGGGAGAAACATTTCCAATCCACTCAGGCAGTTCCCATCACAACAAGTATTACTGGGAATCCAGCACACAGTGCCTGTAATTTTCCTCTCCTCTCTGCACTTTGTGTTTTAATCTCTTCCTTCTGCCGTGCTGAAAGTGGGAAGTAAAAGCTGTATTTTGATTGCGCAGGAAATTCTGCGTATTTTGGGGCATCTCCCAGACTCTGCTCCCTGCCCAAACCCCTGCTTAGGGCCAACCAGTGAAGGTGGGATTTGTCTTTCTTCTGTTCCAGAGCCAGAAGCAGCAGAGACCCACTTCCTGTCCGGAGAGATCCTGTGGCACTTGCGGCAGCAGCACCTCGAGGAGTTCGCTGTGCATGAGGGGACCCCCCCGCCCAGCCCATCCACGGCCCTGGACTCGGCAGAACTCAACCTGCAGATCAGTGCGTCAGACCTGCCCCTGCCGCTGAGGAGTGACGGCTTCTGACCCCCTGCCCTGCCCCTCAGCGCTGCCTCGGGGCTCTGCTCCCCCTTCCCCAATCCCCTTCCCCTTCCTGCACGTGCTGCCCACAGCAAAGACCCCCCCAGCTCCCACCCACACCTCCTGCGCACCGCGGTTACTGGAGCAGCTGACTCAGGACACAGCCCTGTGACATGCTTCCTGTTTTTTTGGCTGTGTACAGCTCCCATACTCATCTGTTGGTGTATTATTTTTTTTTATATCTACTTTGATTTGGGTCATGTAAAGCGTTTTTCTCTGGGATGAACTGCAGCGCCCTAAATCTCAGGCATGATGTGCCCTTGGATAGGGAAAGGTTCTTCCCCAGAGGGTGGTTGGCACTGAACAGGCTCCCCAGGGCAGTGGTCATGGCCCCAAGGCTGCCCCAAGAGCTCGGGGAGCATTTGGACAACACTCTGAGGGACAGGGTGGGATTGTTGGGGTGTCCTGGGCAGGGCCAGGAGTTGCACCCGATGATCCTTGTGGGTCCCTTCTAGCTCAGGGTATTTCATAACTCTGTGGTGTTGAATGTGGCTTTGGAAATCCCAGCACAGACACATCATGTGGCTCCTGCCGGCACAAGGAGCGTGTGCAGGACTTCCAGGGTACCCTGATGGACCCACTGCACAGCCCCACACAAACACCCTCACATCCCACCCACCCGGGATGTGGAGCTGGGAGAAGAGGTAATCGGGCTATGTTGCCACAGACAGTGGCAGAGCTGTGCCATGGTGCAGCTTGGCAAGGACACGGAGCAGGGAGCACCCACTGCTCCATCTTCAGCTTCCCCTTCTGCCAAGAGTGGCAGGAGGGGCTTGGTGGCCAGTTCTGCCCTGGGAGGGCAGGGGTTTGTTACCCTCTGATGTTGCCACATCCCTACTCTTTGGTCCTTCCCAGGGCTTTGGCAAAGCATGAGATCCCTTGGCAGGTCCCAGGTGCCTGTCCTCAGCCTGCACTTCCAGCACCAGGAATGTGACACAGCTGTGACATCCTCTAGGATGGGCCAGACACGGAGAGCCTGGGGGACTGGGGAGTCCAGGGGCCCCAGGGAGGTGACCTGCCTGGGGATGGTGACAGTGCCAGGCCTGGCTCCCTTCTGGCTCCACTCTCAGCTTTGCCAGACACACAAAATCATCCTGGGGGATGCTGCTGCCTCTCTGTGGACACTGTGAGCCTCCAGCTAAGCCAGCTGCCCTACCAGGGGAGGAGGGCAGAGCCGGGCACAGCTGTTGGGATCACAGCAGAGCTCAGGGTTTCTCTGTCACTCCAGGCCAAGGGGAAAGTGTGGCAGGGCAGGTTCACCCAGGATGGGGAGATACAGATGGGAAGGGCTGGTGGGTGCAGGTTGGGGCTGAGACTACAGCCCAGCTCCTCTTAGAACCACAGAATCATGGGATCATTAAGGTTGGAAAAGACCTCTAAGATCATTGAGTCCAACCATTCCCCCAGCACTGCCAAGCCCACCTCTAACCCCTGCCCCCAGGTGCCACATCCACATGAGTTTTTGAACATTCCAGGGACAGTGACTCCGCCACCTCCCCTCTTCCAACGCGTGACCACCCTTTTGGGGACGAAGTTCTTCCCAATGTCCAACCCAAAACTCCCCCAGTGCAACTTGAGCCCATTTCCCCTTGTCCTGTCCCTTGTTCCCTGGGAGCAGAGCTCGACCCCCACCTGGCTCCACTTTCCCCTCAGGGAGTTGCAGAGGGTAGGAAGGTCCCCTCTGAGCCTCCTTTTCTCCAGCTCCCTCAGCTGCTCCTGGTGCTCCAGGCCTTCCCCCAGCTCCATTCCTTTCCCTGGACGCTCTCCAGCTCCTCAGTGTCTTTCTTGAAGTGAGGGGCCCAGAACTGGACACAGAGTTCCAGGTGCCTCAGCAGTGCATCTGTCAGGGCTCCTCCATCCTCCATCCACATGGCAGGACATGGTGGGAGATGCCTCTCCCCAGCTCCAGCCCAGGGAGCTTTCAGAGGAGATTTGGCTGCACACTGGCCTTGCTGGGGAGTGGGAATTGGAACCCATTTCAGGATGCAGTAAAACCTTAATCTGCAGCCTAATCTCTGTTGCACTGCATCTGTGCAGCAGCCAAAACCGGCAGATGAGAGGGCTGTGAAGGGAGGGTTGGGACAGCAGAGGCCACTGTGAGGAGCCAGTGGGTTTGCAGGGGGGTCAGGGATCTTTGCTGGGGGACAGGGAGACAGGAGAGCAGGTGAGGGACCTCTGGCTCGTGGCAGGAAACACCCTGGGAGCAGGGAGAACACTGGGGAGTGGGTCCTGATCACCTGAGCAGTGTTCCCAAGGGCATGGAGCAAACATTGAGACACCTGCTGAGATCCAAGGGGAATGCCTGTGATCAGGGCTGAGCTCAGCAACATGGGAATGGCCACGTGGGCAGCAAAGCCACCACAGTCCCCAGGGGCTCACACCTCCCAGCCCACCGGGGATCCTCACTCCACATCCTCCCTGGTGCCCTGCTCCCTTCCCTGTCCTGCTGGGATGGAGGTGCTGATTAACTCGGGCCATATTAGCAGGGGACAGGCTGAAAGACAGGCACCAGCCCAGAGGAAATGTGACAGCACAGCCTTGTTCCAGCAGCAGCAGAGCTGCCAGCAAAGGCTCAGCTCCTGCCACTGCTCAAGGGCACAGCCAGGGCCAAGGTGAAAGGCTCTGCTGGCAGAGGGAGCTGCAGAATCAGAGGCAGGAGAAGCAAAACTCAGAAATGGCAGCTCGCTGCCCAAGCTGTCAAACACAGCATAACCAGTTTCCCTGAGCTCTCCAGCAGCACAAATAGCTCAGTTTTAGCTCTAATCTGACTCAGGACTCCCAGTTGGAGGCAGGTCCGTCCCTGAGCCCCGGGGAGCAGCAATGCCACCCCCCCCAGCAGCAGCAGGCAGGTCTCCATGGAGCAGGGAGGGAGGGTCACAGCCAGAATTAGCTGAGCCAGGCTCAGCAGGGCTGCACCTCCCAGGCTGCTCCAAGCCCTGTCCAGCCTGGCCTTGGACACTTCCAGGGATCCAGGGGCAGCCACAGCTTCCCTGGGCAACCTATCCAATATAAACCTGCTCTCTGCCATGTTGTCCTGCAGGAAGTGCTGATGAGGCTGGAGATGGGCTCACCTCTGGAGGGGAGAGCAGGGACTGTTCCCAGGGCTCTGCTGCCCTCAGCTGTTGTTTTTTACTGATATCCAAATTTTCCAAGTCAGCCTTACAGTAAGTGGCACTCCTCAAATGTTGTGGTTGTGCTCCAAAAAAAAAGGCCTTTGCACTTGCACCAATTTATTTTATTTTTACCTTTCACGTAGTAAAAATCCTGCTTGAAAAGTGGCTGAGGAAATGGAAGGTTCACTAAGTCCACACCTGCCTCTGGAAAAAGTTTGGAATCTGCAAAGCAAGAAAGCAGCAGCTCAGCACTTGGCCTTCAGCAGTGCTTGGACCTAAACTGGCTACTAATAATTATTCATTTTATTAATATTAACGTTTCTGCTGCGGGCTGCACCTGTCACTGCCTCCCCAATCCCTTTGCTTCCCCCTTCCCAGTGGTCAGTGGGAGCAGGGTAACACACCCCGGGAATGCATTTAAATTGAGCTGCAGAGTTGCCCGACAGCCCAGAACCCTTCAGAGCCCTCGGTGCTGCTGTAGCACCCACAAGGGTAACACACACACAAACCCCAAATCCCAGGGTTTAATTAACCTGTGCCAAGCCCCTCCTGGGCTATCTCATAAATAATTTAAAGCCATTCTACGTTGTGGCGTCACTATTGCAAGGGCCCGTTTGACTCGGTACAGAGCTCTCAACTCTTACACAACACTCCATTACCCATTACTTCTGCCCAAGCAGTTTTCTGCACCTCGAGGCTCAGCAGGAGGGTCTCCGTGATAAACCCGAGGTTGGAAAGGACCTCAAAGTCCCTCCAGTTCCAACCCCCACTACCATGGGCAGGGACGCCTTCCAGTAGACCAGAGGGCTCCAAGCCGTATCCAACCCGGCCTTGAACCTCTCCAGTAAACACCCTCTAATGAACACCAACTCCCCCTCAATCCTCTCTGAGGTAAAAGGGAATTTACACGCTCTTGAGCGCCCCTTCCGTGTCGCCCACAGAGAGGGAGCCCTGGAAAAGTGGAAGATGTCCCTCCATCCTCAGGCACCCTCCGGGGTGCCCCGACCGCACTGCGGGGCGGCTGCGAGCTCCACAATCCCTCCCAGAAGCAGCCCCGGAGCCCTCCGTGCGGCCCAGCCTCAGGTCGGGGCTGCCCTGGCGAGGGGGCCTCAGAGGGCGGTGCCTCAACATGGCGGTGGGCGGGAGGGAGGGGGAAGGAGCGCCACGTGACCCCGCTCGCCCAATCAGCGGCGGGGACCGCCGGCACGGCGGGAAAGGGAGGCGTCACGTGCCCAACCGTCAGCCAATCAGTGACGGGAGAGGAGAAGGGAAGGGGTCACGTGTCCCCCCCGCCAGCCAATGGGCGGCGGGCGGCGGCGGCGCCAAGATGGCGGACGATAAGGTGAGCGGGGCAGGCCAGGGCTGAGAGGCCGCGGGGCCTCCCCCGGCAGGGCTCGGGAATCACCTTCGTGTCTCCCGCAGGACTCGCTGCCCAAGCTCAAGGACCTCGCCTTCCTCAAGGGGCAGCTGGAGAGCCTGCAGCGCCGGGTGGAGGACGAGGTGCAGGCCGGCGTGGGGCAGGTAACGCGCGGGTTCGCGGCGCTCCCTCTGAGGGGGCGAAAAACAAGCCCTGGGGAAGAACAACCCGCCCTGTGCGTCCACCCCCCCGTCCCCCCTCACTGTGCCTTTCTCCCACACGCAGGACGGGTCCCTCCTGGCGTCGCCCTTCCTCAAAGGCTTTCTGGCGGGGTACGTGGTGGCCAAGCTCCGCTTCTCCGCAGTCCTGGGCTTCGTGGCCGGCACCTGCACCGGCATTTACGCCGCCCAGAACTACGCCGTGCCCAACGTCGAGAAGACGGTTCGGGACTATATGAATGCGCTGAAAAAAGGTCGGGACTAGCGCGGAGGAGCCCGGAGGCAGCAGGGACTGCGGGAACGGTGCTCCTCGGGCAGCGGGCACAGAGCGACCCCGGGGCTCCCGGAGGCACGTCACCCGCACCCTTCTTTTCCCTGGCAAAGGGCTTTGCATCGCAGCACTGCGGCACTCGGGGGCTGTGATGGGTGTGCACGGGGCATCACGGCGGTGGTGAGCACTCTACTAACCCACCGAGGTGCTGCCAGCTGCCTTTTCCCCTCACTCTCACCTGCCCTGTGTGGACTGAGGGGCTGCTGTGTCATGCCACCTGCTGTGCCCTGCCACCCACACTGTGCCCTGGGGACGTGCCCTGTGTGGCTCCCTAGGAAGGCTTTGTAGTTCTGCTAAGGAGAGACAGCGCCCAGGTCTCCTCCTGCACCACCAGTGTAGCAGGGAACACCCTGCTCCAGTCAGGCTCATTAAATCCTTGGTTATTTGGTCTCTTCTTCGGTGTTGCAGGGTGAGAGTCTTGTCTGGCCTGTCTGCACTGACAGCTGGAAATGGGAATGCTTGGGAATGCTGCCGAGGGGCCACAGCGGAGGGGGCTGTGGGTGCTGATGCTGCTGCTGTCCGTGGCCATCTACGGCTCCCACGCCCCTCTCCTGACCCTGTGCAAGGTGGACGGGGCCATCCCCTTCAGCTCCACGTCGGTGGTGGTGCTGGTGGAGCTCACCAAGCTGGCGCTGTCCCTGCTGTCCCTGCTCAGGGAGCCACCGACACCCGCCGTGTCCTGGCACCACGCGGCGCCCTTCGCCCTGTCGGCCCTGCTCTACGCCGCCAACAACAACCTGGTGGTGCACATGCAGC